GGTGGTGCCGCGCTAAGCCTCCGTGTGCTCTTGGCAGCGCGGGAGGTGACCGTGACAAGCCCGCTGCAGGACGCGGAGGCCACGGAGGAGGGCCGCGCCTGCTTCTCGTGCGAGCTTTCCCACGAGGACGAAGAGGTGGAGTGGTCACTCAATGGGACGCCCCTCTACAACGACAGCTTCCATGAAATCACCCACGAGGGCCACCGCCACACGCTGGTGCTGAAGCGGGTCAGGCGCGGGGACGCGGGCACCGTGTGCGTCTCTTCCCCCAAGGTGACGGCCTCTGCCCGCCTGGAGGTCAGAGGTGAGGCGGCCTGCACGGGTCTGTGGAGTCCCCTCAGGGGTCTCAGCTGGTGAGGCGGCGGCTCCTTCACTCACCTCCTGACACCTCGTCCTGCAGCGAAGCCGGCGGTGTTCCTGAAGGCGCTGGACGACGTGTCCGCGGAGGAGCAGAGCACCCTGACCCTGCAGTGCGAGGTCTCCGACCCCCAGGCGGGTGTAGTGTGGCGCAAGGACGGAGTGGAGCTGGGCCCCAGCGACAAGTACGACTTTCTGCACACGGCGGGCACGCGTGGGCTGGTGGTCCACGACCTGAGCCTGGACGACGCGGGCCTGTACACCTGCCATCTGGGCACTGAGGAGACCTGCGCGAATGTCAGCGTGCACGGTGCGTGGGGGCGTGGCCGAGAGGGGGCGTGGCCTGGCACAGAAGGTGTGGCCACATACTGAGGCCCTGCCCACTCAAGCCCGGGCTGTTCACTGAGTCAGGAGAGGTCAGGCAGGTGATGGCGAACCTTTTGAGCTCGGCGTGTCAGCATTTTGAAAAACCCTAACTTAACTCTGGTGCTGTGTCACATATAGAAATTTTTTGATATTTGCAACCATAGTAAAATGAAGACTTATATTTTTGATATTCATTTTATATATTTAAATGCCATTTAACAAAAATCAACCAAAAAAATGAGTTCGCGTGTCACCTCTGACACGTGTGTCATAGGTTCGCCATCACTGCTCTAGGAGGAGCGGGCTTAACATGATCCTTAGGAGGCCCAGATGCAGGCAGGTTAGCAGGGACGATAGCAACGGAGTGAAGCATGGGAGACGGGCCAGGCCGTGCCTGACCAACAGGGACCTGGAGACATTCACTGTGCACCAGGGGATGTGTGTGGGCAGGTGTGAAGCCAATCACTGGAGCCTCTCGGAGGTGGGAAGCAGGAGAGACCAAGGTGTCAGGGGGTGGGAGGATGCCCTGGAACTTGTTTCCCAACCAGGTGGTCGCTATCTTGGCTCAGCTCCAGTAGTCTTGTTTCCCTTCCACATGCACGACAGGCCTGTTCTCTGTGACCCCGTGGTGGGTCCTTGACATCTGGTGGGTTTTGAGATGAGACAGGAAAGGGGGGAGGGTGGTGCAGTGGGTTTGTCCCAGAGCTAAACGGCACTTTCACTCGGGGCACCTATCCTTCCAGAGCATGTGAGCTACTGAAAACTGATGCTTTGTTCTCTGCCCCTTGTTCTGTAGCAGGAAGGCAGTGCCCTGGTCAGAACTCACAGCTATTGGCCATCCAAACACCAGGGTGTGACCAGCTGGAGGCCAAGGGGGCATTGGCTGAGGGGCAGCAGGTCTGCCCGGAGTGGGCTGGGGAGGCTGGGTATTTGAGCCTCTGGAACACTATGGGGCTCAATGATGCTGGTCCTGAGGGGCAGGCGTCTGGGGCCTGGCCACAGTGACCACTGCTTCTCCTGGTTCACAGACCTGCACGTGGGCATCACCAAGAGGCTGAAGAACGTGGAGGTGCTAGAGGGTGAGGGCTGCAACTTCGAGTGTATCCTGTCCCATGAGGACACAGGTGACACTGCCACTTGGACAGTCGGCGGGAAGACATTGGGCAGCACAGGCCGCTTCCGGGCCACTCGCCAGGGCCGAAAGTACACCCTGGCAGTGCGAGAGGCACTGCTGAGTGACACCGGGGAGGTGGTCTTCTCTGTGCGCGGCCTCACCTCCAAGGCCTCGCTCCTCGTCAAAGGTGGGCACCACGCACCCAGGCAGATGGGCCACTCTCCCCAGGCAACCTGCAGTGGAGCCTTCGGCTGGGCAGCTTTCCAGGGGAGGCTTCTGGAGACCAGCTCCCTCAGCCACTGGTGGGGGCCCAGAGCTCCGGTTGGGATGTGGGGTTTCTGGTCATCTGGGGGCAGGAGCAGGGCTTCTGGTCTCGCACCTGTGGCCTGACTGCTGTGGCAGCTCCAGGGCACATGGTCACCAGCCAGTGAAACCACTGAGCTCATGCTCCCAGCATAAACACTGGTGCAGATCAGTGAAGCGTGGCTCACAGGTGGCACCAGCCATGGCTACGTGATGTCACGGGCTCTGAACAATGCTGAGAGCATCTGTGCTCTCATATCCCCCCCTCAAAGATGCCTCTCTTGTCACAGTGAGGACTCCTGGCATTCCAAGGCTCCGAGGCTCCTAGGTTTGAGGTCCTAGAATTTTAGGCTGTGGGCTTGGCCTCCAGAGCCTAAAGGTTTCCAAGCACCAGCCCTGCCATTGTCTCTGGTGTGGCCGTGGCCGTGACTCACAGGCAGCCTCTTACTCCTTCAGAAAGGCCAGCAGACATCACGAAGCCATTGGAAGACCAGCGGGCCATGGCAGGGGAGGATGCGATACTGAGCTGTGAGCTGTCACGGGTGGACTCCCCAGTGCGCTGGCTGAAGGATGGGAAAGCCATTCGCAAGAGTCAGAAGTATGACCTGCTCTGTGAGGGCACGCGGGCCATGCTGGTAGTCCACGCGGCCTCACTCAAAGATTCCGGAGAATACACATGTGAAACAGAGGCTTCCAAGAGCACAGCCAGCCTCTATGTGGAAGGTAACTCCACAAGAAACTCTGAGGCAGCGCCCATGGCCTCTCTCCCGCAGTGTGTCATGGGGCGCAGTGTGTCATGGGGCCACTCCCTCAGGGCCTCCACTGTGCTATCCAAAGTGGAAAGGGAAGGGGTCCAGAGGAAAGGGGCTCAGGCCACTCCTTGAGGTTGCATGGGCAGGCCGGGGGAAGAACTGCCCATGTCCTGTGGGGTCTGTAAGCCTCACCCCCATCCCTTCTTATCTCTTCCCCCAGAAAAGCCAAACCGGTTCACAGAGGAGCTGGCTGACCTGCAGGTGGAGGAAAAAGGCCTGGCTGTATTTACCTGCAAGACAGAGCGCCCTGCAGCCACGGTGACCTGGAGAAAGGGCCTCTCTGAGCTGCATGCCTCGGGGAAGCATGCACCCAGCCAGGAGGGCGTGACCTTGAGGCTCACCATCAGTGCCCTGGAAAAGGCAGACAGTGATACGTACTCCTGCGATATTGGCCAGGCAAGGTCCCAGGCACGGCTCGTGGTGCAAGGTGAGGCTGGTGCATTGCACGGATTTCATGACCTCTGACGTGGCCAGTGTCAGCCTTGTGTAAAACTGTCTCAGAGGCCCTGGACAAGCCCAGCCTTGGTTTCCCCATCGTCTGGAGGGGTTGCCTTGGGTGGCTCATCTCTGTGGCCTCCCAGTTGGACCTTGTGCGAAGCAGTCAGCAGTCCTCATTTATTACTGCATTTGTGTTTCTGGAGCTCCTCCTATGTGCTGGCAGTGCCCAAGCCCATTGCGTAAGCTCGTGTGTATTTGCACGGAGATGTACCGCCTCTGTGCATGGAGGTCTCCAGGTTTGAGGAACTGTTTGTACCTGACAGGCAGGGTGAGGGTCATCATTGTCTCCATCTCACAGATAAAGAAACTGATGCTTTACTTGGGGTCAGAGGCTGGGCCAGGTTCCTGGGCATGTTGGCATCTGGACAGGGTTGAATCCGACCTTCCGTATCCCAGGGCCAGCATCCAGGGTCTCTCCCTTCTTCCTTCCCTCCCTTCCTCCCTCTCACTCTTCTAAAAATCAGTGGAAAAAATACCTCAGGTATCCTCGTGTGAGGATTAAAAACAAAAAACACACCCATGAGCCCATCTGGTGGCCCACGCCTTTTCTCTGAGTGTCGGTCTTCAAATCAAAATTATTTTTCTCTGACCAGTCACCTCTTGACACACCAACTGTGCTTTCTAGGGCTTTGTGCCCAGTGTCCATCCAATGTCTTGTGTTTGGTGTCTAGTGCCTGGTGTCCTGGCATCTGGTATCTGGCATCTAGTGCCCGGCATACGGCAGCTTCAAAACACCCGTGAATATGGAGAAATCTGTTGCACACCCATTTTCGTGCTTAACTTCTTCTGAGTGTCCCTGACCTAAGTTGGCAGCAAAAAAAAAAAAAAAAAAAAAATTCCTAGCAATTCATGTCAAACCCCCAGAGCACTGGATTTAAGTTTCACACAATCACACGTCTTTTATCAGCGTGTCCATGGGACTGGTCAGTTTAGCTCTGACTTCCTTGCTGTTTCTCAGTGTCATCATCCTGAACCCGTTAGAGGTCTGGGAGAGCACCCCGTTTCCCTTGGTGGGGTCCTGATGTGTCCACCCTGTCCCCCAGGTCAGAGAGTGCTCATCACGGAGGACCTGAGGGACGCGGAGGTGCAGGAGGGCTCCTCTGCCACCTTCAGCTGCCGTGTCTCCCCTGGGGACTATGGGCCTGTCTGCTGGTTCCTGGACAAAACACCTCTGCACCCTAATGAGCTCAATGAGATTGAGACCCAGCCGGGTGGTTACCACGTGCTCACCCTGCGGGAGCTTGGGCTCAAGGACTCGGGCACTGTCTACTTTGAAGCGGGCGACCAGCGGTCCTCGGCCACCCTGCGGGTCACAGGTGGGCTGCATGCCTGTGCTGTGGTGGGGACCGTCCGTGGGGCTCAGGATGCAGTGTGTCCTGGGCCTCACAGAGCAGGTGCTGTGGGCTGGGCCTTGGGGCCAGGGTGGGCTTGGGAGGCTGGGTGTGGCTGTTTCAGGATGCATCATTGCACGTGGTAGGCAGAACTGATTCCATGGTCAGCGTGGCATAGGCCTGGCCATGCCCCTGGAGTGTGGGGAGCCATGCAGAGGCCGGCCTGTCTGTGTCCCTAGGCTGAGGTGGACAGATGGGTACTGACCTGGGGTGTCACCTAGGCTGCAGCGACACCTGGAGCTTCTGCAGGAGCCTCCATGTGCCCTGTACTTCTCTCTCTGTCCCCAGAGAAGCCAAGTGTCTTCTCCCAGGAGCTCACGGATGCCACAGTCATGGAGGGGGAGGATCTGACTCTGGTCTGTGAGACCACTGTCCCGGACAACCCTGTGCATTGGACCAAGGATGGGAAAACCCTGCGGGGGTCGGCCCGGTGCCAGCTGAGCCGTGAGGGCCGCCGAGCCCAGCTGGTCATCACTGGCACCACCCTGCAGGATGGCGGGCGCTACAAGTGTGAGGCTGCGGGTGCCTGGAGCAGCTCCATCGTCAGGATCCACGGTGAGCCCTCAGGCAGGAAGGACCAGGCAGCTTCCAGCCATGCTCTTTGTGCCCACCGCTCTCATCTTGTTCAGGGCAGGGGAAGCCCCAGACCTCACCCAGCTCCTTCTTTCTCTGTCTTTGCCCTCTCGGTGTCTGTGAGTGTGTGTGTGTGTGTGTGTGTGTGTGTGTGTGTGTGTGGTGGTGATGGTGGTGGTGGTGGGAGGGGGTGTTTCGTCTGGCTCTGCCTCTCCACAGCTTATCCCCCCTCACTGCTTCTCCCCATCTCTGGGTCTGAGTCTCTGCTGCTAATAGAACCTTTCTCACCCTCTCTTGGTCTCCTGACTGCCAGTATCTTTTGTACTTTATTCCTGACTTGGTCTTGCATTCTGACATCTCTCCTCCCTTTGTCTTGTATTCTGACATCTCCCCTCCCTCCCCTGGGCTTGGCTTATCTCCATCAGCCTGGGCTGTGTAACAAATACCATAGACATGGCAGCTCAAATTCCAGTCATTTATTTCTCCCAGTCCTGGAGCCTGAAAGTCTGGGACCCAGGTGTGGGAAGGGCTGGTCCCCTGGAGGCCTCTGTCCTTGCTGTGTGGATGGCCATCTCCTCCTATGTCCTCCCTTGGCCGTCCCTCTGTATATATCTGTGTCCTGATCTCTTCTTCTTATAATGACCCCAGTTATATGGTGTTAGAGCCCATTCTAGTGATCTCACTTCGCCTTCTTCACATCTTTAAAGGCTCCACTTGCCAATACAGAACCATCTGAGGTCCTGGGGGTGGGGCTCCAATGAGTGAAGGGGGACACAATGCAGCTCATGACACCCCACCCTTCTTTGTTCTTTTGTTTGGCTCCCCCTCCTGGAGGGTCACTTTCACTAGCCCCTGATGTAGAAGGGTGAGGTGGTCCTCCTGCACCGTGCTGGTCCCTCCAGCCCTCCTCAGCTGTAGGGGAGCCCCAGGTGCATGCAGGAGTGAGGACAAGCTGAGCCTGCGCCTTCCACAGCGCGGCCCGTGCACTTCCGGGAAAGCCTGAAGGACATAGAGGTGCTAGAGGGCGGTGCTGCCACACTGCGCTGCAAGCTGTCAACGGTGGCTGCACCTGTGGAGTGGCGCTGTGGAGATGAGGTCCTGCGGCCAGGAGGCAAGTACAGGATGCGGCAGGAGGGTACCATGCTGGAGCTGGTGGTCCGGGACTTGCAGCCCGGCGACAGCGGTCAGTACGTCTGCTGCTTCGGGGACCAGACAACCTCAGCCACGCTCACCGTGAAGGGTACGAGTGCCCCTGCCCTGCCCTTGCAGCCCCATTGGTATCTTTCATCCCCTGTAGGAGGATGAGGATGAGGTTCTCTGTCTCTGACCTTCCACAGCCCTGCCTGCGGAGTTCGTAGGAAGACTGAGAAGCAAGGAGGCCACGGAAGGGGCTGTGGTAACGTTGCGCTGCGAGCTGAGCAAGGCGGCCCCTGTGGAGTGGAGGAAGGGGCTCGAGACCCTCAGAGCTGGGGACAGAGTCAACCTGAGGCAGGACGGGGCCGTGTGTGAGCTGGAAATTTGTGGCCTGATGGTGGCGGATGCCGGGGAGTACTCGTGTGTGTGTGGGCAGGAGAGGACGTCGGCCACACTGACCGTCAGGGGTAAAGACCATGTGTAGCTGAGCAGAGCCGTGCCTTTGTTTCAGTTACTCGCTTCATGACATCTGCCTGCACTCATTCCATGTTCTCTGCTGTCTCAGTGTCATTCTCTTCCCATAATTCCACAGAATCCCTTCCACCTTCCTGGCTGTTGTGCAAACCATGAGAAACCAGCATCTAGGCCACTTCTCACTGCTGTGTCACTGATGGTTTTGTTCTGTTTCCTGTCAGTGTCTGTATCACGTCCTCTGTCCTGTTAGGTTCTCTTCCAAAGCTCTTCACAGAATCTCATGTTCTCTGTCTCTGACCCTCCACAGCCCTGCCTGCGGAGTTCATAGGAAGACTGAGAAGCAAGGAGGCCACGGAAGGGGCTGTGGTAACGCTGCGCTGCGAGCTGAGCAAGGCGGCCCCCGTGGAGTGGAGGAAGGGGCTCGAGACCCTCAGAGCTGGGGACAGAGTCAGCCTGAGGCAGGAAGGGGCTGTGTGTGAGCTGGAGATCCATGGCCTTGCGGTGGCAGATGCCGGGGAGTACTCATGCGTGTGTGGGCAGGAGAGGACGTCGGCCACGCTGACAGTCAAGGGTAAAGACTGCATGTGGCCATATGGAGCAGTGGCTCTGTGTCTGAGGGCTTGGGCAGGTCCTTTGCTATGTTCGTGTGCGTAGGTATTTCCACCTCTGTGTCTCCTGCTGTCCTGCAGCAGTAATGTCAGCACAAAGCTGTGTGAAGCCTTCCCAGATATAGATCAGAAAACAAAGCTTCCTCTCTTACAGGGGTCACATCAGAGGGTGGGGGGTGGGGGTGGGGAGGAGAGTAGCCACACTAGACAAATGGTGGGATACAGTCCTTTTGAGGAGGCTATGCCAGCAAAGATTAGGAAGTAGATCTAAGTGTGGCCCTTGATGCAGAGATGTCAGGAGTTATGATCAAGTGAGGGAGCCAAGCATACATGACTGGCCATGAGAGAGCCATATAGGTGATCTGGGTCCACTGTCTAGGACCTGGGTGCCATGAGAGGTAAGGCAGCTGTATAGGGTGAGGTAGTGGTGTGGGTGTGAAGGATGAGGAGGAGGTGAGGTGGGTGTTTGAGGGGAGGAGGAGGTGAGGTGGGTGTGGGAGGGGAAGAGGTGAGGTGGGTGTGGGAGGGGAAGAGGTGAGGTGGGTGTGGGAGGGGAAGAGGTGAGGTGGGTGTGGGAGGGGAAGAGGTGAGGTGGGTGTGGGAGGGGAAGAGGTGAGGTGGGTGTGGGAGGGGAAGAGGTGAGGTGGGTGTGGGAGGGGAAGAGGTGAGGTGGGTGTGGGAGGGGAAGAGGTGAGGTGGGTGTGGGAGGGGAAGAGGTGAGGTGGGTGTGGGAGGGGAAGAGGTGAGGTGGGTGTGGGAGGGGAAGAGGTGAGGTGGGTGTGGGAGGGGAAGAGGTGAGGTGGGTGTGGGAGGGGAAGAGGTGAGGTGGGTGTGGGAGGGGAAGAGGTGAGGTGGGTGTGGGAGGGGAAGAGGTGAGGTGGGTGTGGGAGGGGAAGAGGTGAGGTGGGTGTGGGAGGGGAAGAGGTGAGGTGGGTGTGGGAGGGGAAGAGGTGAGGTGGGTGTGGGAGGGGAAGAGGTGAGGTGGGTGTGGGAGGGGAAGAGGTGAGGTGGGTGTGGGAGGGGAAGAGGTGAGGTGGGTGTGGGAGGGGAAGAGGTGAGGTGGGTGTGGGAGGGGAAGAGGTGAGGTGGGTGTGGGAGGGGAAGAGGTGAGGTGGGTGTGGGAGGGGAAGAGGTGAGGTGGGTGTGGGAGGGGAAGAGGTGAGGTGGGTGTGGGAGGGGAAGAGGTGAGGTGGGTGTGGGAGGGGAAGAGGTGAGGTGGGTGTGGGAGGGGAAGAGGTGAGGTGGGTGTGGGAGGGGAAGAGGTGAGGTGGGTGTGGGAGGGGAAGAGGTGAGGTGGGTGTGGGAGGGGAAGAGGTGAGGTGGGTGTGGGAGGGGAAGAGGTGAGGTGGGTGTGGGAGGGGAAGAGGTGAGGTGGGTGTGGGAGGGGAAGAGGTGAGGTGGGTGTGGGAGGGGAAGAGGTGAGGTGGGTGTGGGAGGGGAAGAGGTGAGGTGGGTGTGGGAGGGGAAGAGGTGAGGTGGGTGTGGGAGGGGAAGAGGTGAGGTGGGTGTGGGAGGGGAAGAGGTGAGGTGGGTGTGGGAGGGGAAGAGGTGAGGTGGGTGTGGGAGGGGAAGAGGTGAGGTGGGTGTGGGAGGGGAAGAGGTGAGGTGGGTGTGGGAGGGGAAGAGGTGAGGTGGGTGTGGGAGGGGAAGAGGTGAGGTGGGTGTGGGAGGGGAAGAGGTGAGGTGGGTGTGGGAGGGGAAGAGGTGAGGTGGGTGTGGGAGGGGAGGTGGTGAGGTGGGTGTGGGAAGTGAGAAGGTGAGGTGGGTGTGGTAGGGTAGAAGGAGGGGAGGTCTGAGATGGTGGAAGGACAGGGAGGGCTCGGTTGAAGAGCACAGTTCTAGCCAGAAAGGGGTGGTTGGTGTCCATGCCAGAGTGGAGGGTCTGTGACTGGTTTCTGTGGCTGGTGGACATCTTCTCTGGGTTGGGGTCTGCATCTCGTGTTGTGGTGGGTCTGATGGTTCTCCCCTACAGCAGTAGGGGGCTCACTGTGTGTGGTCAGGTGGTCTGGAGTGGACTGAGAGCCCAGGCTGAGGGTTGGGGTAGGGGCTCGCTCAGCTGGAGTTGGTGGGCTGGCCCATGGCTTAGGGGCCAATTGTGTGGTGGATGGTAGCCAGTTGTGTGGGCCCCCCTGCAAGGAGGCAGGTGGGTGTCCCCTCTCATCAGAACAGCCCCTGTGAGGGGTATCCTGCCTGTGTCCCTGGGGCCCCACCTCCAGAAGGTGCCTGTGTTGCCAGCTTGGTATGTGTGGCCTGTTTCCTGTCTACAAACTGCAGCATCCAATGGTCTGTGTGTCCATCTGACCCTCCATAGTCCTGACACCCCAATTCACAAAAGTCTTGGGTCCTGAGACAGCCATGGAAATTCCATGTCCATGCTGCACATGTCTGTGAGTTGGCAGGTTTCCCCCATGAAGTGGTGGAACAGGCCTGAGACCCTCAGCGATGGGGAATCAGGACCAGGCCTGGCCATAGTGAGGTATGGCTAGCAGTCTGGTGACAGGTCAGGGGGTCCGGGTCTTCAGGGGCCCGGGTCTTCAGGGGCCCTCCTGAGGTCCTGGCTCCTCCTGAAGGGCAAGTAGATGGACAGAGACAGGACGGGGCCACCTCAATGTCCTAGGAGGGTCCAAGGAGCAACATCGATGAAGGAGCACAGAGCCAGGGTGGGCCTCAGAAAGAGCAGAGAGAAGGGCACCTCTGCAGGTGTGATGGCCGCCAGTCATGGGCCTCCAGACCCACCCATGAGACAAGGTGGACAGTGAAGAAGAGGATTCTGGAGGCTGGGCAGGGCCATCATGTGCACGATGTTCAGACCTTGGGGGAGAAACCACCACCATGACTCCCCATGCTGCATGGACAGAGCCCAGCGCCTCCAGCAGGGACGCACTGTGCCCTGTGCTAGTCAGACTTCCCGGGAGACCAAAGGAGCACGGCTCCGAGGGCTTCATTCAGCCAACAGTCAGAGTACAAGACCTGCGGTGACAAGCTCCAGGCGGCTCCAGGTGGCTGCTTCTAGAAGTGTGGGGGTTCTAAGGACACTTGTACCAGCGCAACAAGCTCACGGACCTTCCAGGCCGGGGTGTTTCTTACTCTGGTCTGTCCAGCTCTGGCCTCAGGAGCTACAGGAGGTGATGAGGAGTAAGCGCTGATGCAAACTCGTGGGGGAGATTTAGCCAGCCCTTTTCATGCCTCCTCCAGCCATACCTGTAAGGGTCACAAATTGCTAAAAAATAGCCATGGAGGGGGCCATGGCCATGGTGTTATTATCTGAGCAGCTGGTGTGTTGAGTGAGGGACGGGACCAGGGGTCTTGACTCTGATCTCAAAGTCTGAGGCAGGACAAGGAACAGAAGGTTCCAGATTACATCCTTCTGGTCACTGTCTCTGTCCATTGAAACTATGGCCATTTCCCTGTGTCTGTCCTGCTGAGAGGCCCTCACTGAGAGTCCAGCTCCTCCTTCTCATCACTGGCTTTCACCTGGATAGGCAACACTTCCCACCAGTCTCCATGTGTTCATGAATCCTCGTTTGCTCCAGAGTGTGTTTTATTGTCATGTGTCCATGTGTTGCCCAAACCCCCAAGTTCCCCAGGCAAGCTGATGTTTTCTGGGTCCTTCTGACCTCCTTAGCCCTGCCCGCCAAGTTCACAAAGCATCTGAGGAATGAGGAGGCCACGGAAGGGGCAACGGCCACACTTCCCTGCGAGCTGAGCAAGGCGGCGCCTGTGGAGTGGAGGAAGGGGCTCGAGACCCTCAGAGCTGGGGACAGAGTCAGCCTGAGGCAGGATGGGGTCCTGTGTGAGCTGGAGATCCGAGGTCTGGCAGTGGCAGATGCTGGGGAGTACTCATGTGTGTGCGGGCAGGAGAGCACGTCAGCCACACTGACCATCAGGGGTAAAGACCATGTGTGGCCATGTGAGCCAATAGCTTGGTGTCTGCAGAAACCACCTTCTACTCTGTAGGGCTGTGTGGCTGGGTCTCTCCTTGAGCATCTCCCTGCTGTGGCTGCGGCCAATTTCATGTCCTGATATCTGTGTCCAGTCCTTTGTCTCCTCTGTTACTCTCCTCAGTTTGCCTCTGTCACCATCTGTGCATTCATTCTCATTTGCACGTGGCCCTTTGCAGCTTGTGTGGTCCTTGTGGGTGTCCTTGTCCTGGACACAGAGTCCCGCAGACAACCTTAAGTTCTCTGTGTCACTGTGACCCCCCGCAGCCCTGCCCGCGAAGTTCACAAAGGGTCTGGGGAAGGAAGAGGCCATGGAAGGGGCCACAGCCACGTTGCGCTGCGAGCTGAGCAAGGCGGCCCCTGTGGAGTGGAGGAAGGGGCGAAA